TTGGTTTTTTTCCAAGCATGTAAAATCTGCATCATGCTTATACTATTTTCCTTCCAAGATAATCAATCTCTGCTATTTTCAGACAAACTATCAACTAGAACACAGAAATATCCAACAAGTTCAGTAAACTGTAAAGCATTTTTTACTGGTGTGTAGGAAGTTATATGGCAGGATAGCCAGCTGGGCTAAAACATAATTCTTTTCTGCCTTTCACATCAATTCACTTCAAACAACAATTTTTAGGCTTGACAGATGCTTCCATATGAGTCATCTTGATTTCTTAGCTGATATCAGGCATCAAGCCAGGGTCACAAACCAGGGAAGTTGATAGTTCAATACAGTAACTGGTAACTTGAAGATAGATAGCACAGATAAAAATCTTTCTTGAGTTCCTGTTAGCTTGTTTTTGGTGTCTTTGAGGCTCTCTCAGTACAACCTTCCTCCATTACCCCTTCAAGTGGAGACCCTTGCTGGTACAAAGTTAAGCTTTCATTAGAGTTGGATTAAAAAGCCCACAAAGTAAATAATAATAATTTAAAAAAAAAAAAAAACCCACACACAAGCCAGCCCACCTTCTTCCACCCAAACACAACTCAAAGGAACAGACAAGGTATGCCTGTTTCCCAAAACCTCATCTCTAAGGCTCATCTTGCTTTTGCTGGCCAAAGAAAGAAGATCAATTATAAACCTGACCCCAAACATTGATCAGGAGTTTCCTCTGGTCTACCTCAGCAGACTCGCTTTCCAATCTCATTTGCATCTGAATTTTCATGTTTTGCTGGTAAAGAACCAGGAAATAAGACATCATTTGGAAATTTTCATGTCCAGACTGCATGTTACAGCAAGGCAAATTTTGCTGGTCTTATGTATGCCTCAAGCAAAGGTGGTTTTAGTTTTTGTGTTTTGTTTTTAACTTTCAGGAGTGGAGAAGAATGTACATACAGCTAGTTTTGCAATGAGTTAAAAGTGTTGATGAATTTTAGATGTAAAACAAATACACAGAAATTAAGACACATACATGTCTGGGGTCACCCAACTAATCATAGGGAAAATACAAAACAAAATACCAGTCCTAGGTTTTAAACTATATCAGAGCCACTGATGGTTAAGAGTCAGATCTTCAAAACCTTCATCATGCTAAGGTTGTCTGAAGTTTGTATCCTTGTATGAAAATGACTCTTTTGAGTTTTAGTTTGCTTTGGTTTGGTTGTTTTAATTTTCTTTATAGGGTACATGGCTCCCCTTCCTCTATAGTATAATAAACTCCCAGAGATCCAGTTCCTTTTCCTTTCCTTCTGTTATCAGATGGAACCACATAAACAGTGGAAACTCCCTTGGATCTCCCAAAGACAAAGTTATTTATCTGTGGTTACAGTCGTAAGAGACAATCTCACATTTTTGTGATAAGGCATTTCTTGCTTATTTCTTTACTCTGTGTTTTCAATAATTCTCTAAAATGGATATATATTAACAAGCACATAAATACACTGAATGGTTACAAGGATGTCTAAACTACACCAGAAATGGTCTAGGGGAGGACAATTCCAGTCAGCTACAAATGACAGATTTCTGGCCATCAACTCAGCTTCTGAAACCATCCCAGCAAGACTGCCAGAGTTCAGGTCAGCAACTGCAAAACTGCATGTTTCAATATTGCTTAAAATAAAATCCTCTTCCTACAGGAACCATAGCAGCCATTGATGACTTTTCCAGATATGGACAGATGAGAGAAATGCAAAACCTTCTTCCCACCCTCCTCCACAGAAATTCTCCCTGGAGTTGTGGATTTGTGAATCTTTTATTCTTAGTTAGATCCCATGAAAAAAATGCAGACATTACAACAATATCCTCATGTATGCCTATGGACAAAGGATTTATCTACCTGTATTTCTCTTGTCCTTGTTCCATATTACTGGCCATTTATAAGACACGAAATTACAGATAACTTTGCTACTTCTCTAAATAAAATACCCAGAACTGTCATCCAGCACAGTGACTGATGCTTAAAAATCAACCCAAAGCTGTACTTTGAAATGTCTGGGAACATGCTCCTCCTGTAATTTAAATTACGCTGTTTGTACATGGATATTCAATCTCCTCCTCCTCCTCCCTCACATTGATTACCTAACCAGTCATCATTACACATCTCTGAAGAGAAACTATGCTCTGATCCTGATCTTATAAACAACATGGGGATAAAGAAACAAAAATCCCAACCTATCTGTAATTTTCTGCTCATTAGCACTCCAGAAGGACAGTGGCAACTACCAGCTGGGTGGTGTGATACCTGCAAAAGCTGTGAAGCACAACTGTATGCTGGCTATCAGTAAATAGTCCACCATGCTTCTCTGGTTTAAGCAGATGAGCTGTCTTGGTAAGGTTGATAGGATGAAGGACTGATACAATCTTTCGCTAACTCCAGGGCAGAGATGTAGACTTAAATGTGGCAATTCTGAATCATGTTCATCACATTACTGATGGATGCACACAAGGAAAAAACTTAATCAGAAGGGGGGGCAGGGTGGCAACGTGCATTTGTAGGGAGACAGGCAGGGGCTGCATGTTCTCATACCGGGATAGCATACATGAAAGCACATGGTGGCAAGCATGCCTACACAGAGGTGATGCAATAAAGTCCAAATTTTACCAAGTCACATCAAAACCACACCTAGGAAGTTATTCCACACTATAGAACTTGGAGAATGCATTTTTATAAGTGGTAATTCCCTCATTACTTCAACGTATGGCAAGCAGGGAAAGTATGCCAGTTTTCATAGTGCTAACATCCACCTTCTGGAGGGGTAAGTCAAAGGAGAGATTCGGGAAGGGTAAAAACGATGCATTGATACCAAACTTTTTGAAGTTGCAACCATGTTATAATTGCAAAGAACTAGGTCACTATGGGCTTTCCCCAATATGACTCTGCCATGAATGGATGAGTTTAATTTCTGTTCAGTATATTGCATGTTAAGAACAAAATGTTTTAGAACCATTTCAAGGTAGCTACTGCTCATTAATACAGCTTCTTTGAACTACTGTCCCCATAAATACAGCACAAAGCGAGTGACACATACGGTTAACACTTCATGTTTTGCCAACCCGCACGAAGGAAGAAAAGAAGGTTTCATTTTCAATAGAGCAAGAGCTGTGTAATTGCTAAAGAAATTAAGAATAATTACAAATGGTTTGCCTGATAATTACCTGTCATTACATTTTTCTGTAGCATAGAGGGTAGATACATCTACAGGAAAGAGAAGGAGCAATCATGTTTTTTGGAATGGCAGACACACATGTGGTTACGTGGTAATCCCGACTGGTACATGCACACAGACTGGCAGGTTCCCTGTCCCCTCAAAGCACAGAGGGATGATATTGCAGTCAATGCACTGGCTTGGGATTCTACCCTCAGCTCAGCACAGATTTATTATGCTACCTCAGCCATATAATGTTTCTATGCCTTAGTTTTTCCATTTATAGAAATAGGATCATAATTGCTCACTAAATAGCATATTTATAAAGATACACTCATTCATGTGCCTTGGAAAAGATCCCCACAAAAAACAGTAAAAGTGAGATAAATCAACATCTTCAAACAGTGCGCAAGTGAGCAGCCTCACAGATTGCCACACGCCAGGATGTTTCCCTGATTCCCATTTTCCATCCATCACAATGCAGAGAAATAATTGACATCTGGAAGCTATCCCTTAAGGAGATATTTATCTTCCATTAAAGTGCAGAATAGATCACTTGAAGTTAATAAACTGGGAGTTGCTGAACATTTATATGAGTGACAGTGTGAACTTCTAACAGAAAGGGTTCTTTGCAAAGATGGAGACATAACCTGAAAACTGTAGGAGAAACCAGAGGACCTCTGCATTTCGAAAGTATTAATACCAAACAGGAACAGAACAGATTTAGGCAACACCATCAACCGTTTACAGCCGTGACTCAGGGGATCACTGACAGACCAAAAGACCCACCTTGGTGGGCTACATAATGAAATTAAATTGTTTTAGAACTGAACTAGAAAGGGAATGGGTCGTACATCCATGTGTCCATGATAGGATGAGGTATTGTGTTCATTATCTGTCAAATTGTGCAAAGAACACTGTATTTCAGCAAATCAAATATCTTCTGCTGAGGTTACAAGCGCAGAGAACACTCTATAATTTAGAAGAGAACATGCAAAACAGTCCCTTTTGGAGGTGAGGCAGAAAGGATTAGTAGGGGACATCTAGAAGAACTTAGACTGTGTACAAGAAAGGGGGTAGAGAATCCCTGGTTCCAAACCAGTTCTACCAGTAATCCTTTACATCTCTACAACTTTGCCATATTATATGCTATATAAATGCTATTATTATTACTATTGTTATTATGATCAAGCTTCAGTCCACAGTACAATTTTAAGGACAACTATTAAACTGCTACAATTAAAGGGTCCTGCTGAGAATCCAAACAGCTCTTTGCTGTAGTGTTGTAAGAGGGTACTCGCCTGGTGTGCTCCCCAATGCTTTCACTGTTCCCCTGCAGAGATGCTAGCTGCCAAACCTATTTGCTCAGCAGCTTGTTCCTTTCTGCCCTTTCTTGACTGGACTCCGTGAACATGCAGTAGCAGAGGGAAGTCTGCTTGTGCTCCTGCTTCATTTAACTGTTGAGCACAACCTTAAATTGCCAGAGAAGAAAGCAGGAACAGGCACAGAAACAGCTTCAACCCTTCTGTCATTACATCTATGTAGCTGAGCAGAAGAAAAATACAGTAGCCAGATCTCAGACTCACATGGTGGGATTTTTTTGTTGCTGTAATGGCTTTCAGACCACCCCGACCCATTTTCAGCTCATACATAATTGTATGCACCGTACATTTTTTTGTTTTAGAGGGAAATACTGCAAAAAAGTGTTGAGCAAAGCAGATCCATTCACTCAGAATACATTACTGATCCTAGAGCCCTTCTTGAGATACTGTTCCCACCTTAAAAAATAAAAGATATTAAAATACTTACAGTAAAAGCTTGTCCTCTTTTCTGCATTAAAAAGAAAACTGTCTCCCACTAGCTTCTGACAGCATGTGCAAGCCAGACTGAAAATTCAGGGCTTGAGTGCTTCCCTGAGAGGAAAACCACATTGCAGTGAGACACAGAGAGCTGCTTGAGAAATGATTCACATACGGAAGCAAGCTGGCTTCACCAGCGCTTTGGCATTCAACACACACGCACACACATATGCACACTTGCTTACTCAGGGGAATGAGAAATATTATATTTTCATCAAAGCAAGGAGGATTTATGCAAGAAAGCCATTTATATCCCACCTCCAAAACACTGAGATGCTTCAATCGGTAAAGCAGATGAAGAGTTTCTTTCAGTAACCCATCATCTCCAACAGCAGAACTGCACACTGGGCAGAGAACATAAAACCCAGACTAGTCTGCATGATCCAACCAAGTAAAAACATGAGGTACATACAACATAGGAAGGGCAAAGAGGTGGCCATAGAAAGAGAACATTTTTCAGAGGCAACTACAAAAGCAGCTTTCAGAAGCTTTTATATTCCACACTAATAATCTCTTCCCTAGAGTGCCAGCAATCACTGACAGCACACCTTACGACATTTCCCTTGTCTCCATCATTGCTTCAAAAAAGTGGAAAAGTGTGTGTGTGCAGAGAAGGAAGATACATTAAGACAGAGACTTTTATGCAGGAAGCAACTAGAATCAGTCCTCTTGAGCTGTCCAAGAAGTGTCAGTCTGTTCTTCACTTAGAAGAGAGCAAATAAGGGACAAGAGTGAGCAATGATAAAGAATGTTCCTTTTTCTTAAGTTTTCTGAAGAAAGTTTGGTATCTGAAAACAGGAAGGAAAGGGTCAGAGGTCTTAACGGAGTTAAGAGAGGCAAAAATGGCATCAAGTTGGAGGAAACAGAGGGGATGCAAAGCGAAATCAAATCTAAATCTGAGTTTCAGAGAAACCTAAGGTGTTTACAACTGGGCTTTCTGTTTGACTGTGTCCAGAGAGGAGGCTCTTCACTTTCTGATGTCTCTGATCTGACACTTAAACTGTGACTACAGATCAGAACGTCTCTCCTGAATGGCAGAGGGATCCTTTCCCAGCAGTGTGAACCTAGCATATAAACAACATCGAAGCTACAGTTGTAGTCTCATAATAGGGAGGAGGAAGATTTACAATATGAACCTAAAAAGAGTTGCTAAAAAGAGTTGCAGCATCTGAACGGTTCAATCTTACCACACCCTCCAGAACTCCTTACTCTAGGTGCCAAAGGGGCTTACAAGAAGCTAATGTTATGTCAAGAGTAAATTTATGTTTCAGTTCAGTGTTGGCACCACTACTGTTATTGCAGAGTAACTAAATCTTAAGACACAAACTGAGTCCAAGCTGAATCCTTCTGAAGTTTATGGATTTGAGATCCAACTTTCTCATTATATTCTTAAAAGTGAGGAACTCTTGCCTTCAGATATTAAAACACCAGAACAACAAAAAGACCACACCATGACTTATTTAGCATGTGACAATGGTCTAAGTTTGGCAGGTCTCAAGCATTCATTATTAGTTATAAGTCCCTAAACCCATCATGCCAGGTGCTATTTCAAGTTCACCAACACCTGCTGTACCAATCCTTCTATCCAGCCTACTTTGTCAGTTTATTCAGTAGCCAAGGACAGGCTGTGTGATCACAGGTAGAACTTACCCTTTCCATATTTTTATACATCTGACACTTAGAGTTTTTGAAATTATTCACAACTCAGATAAGGCAGTACTTTCTCATTCATATTAACAAAGTTCTTGTAGACACTGCGATCTGTAATGCACTGTTTCTCCTCCCTGAGGAAGTGACACTACATTCAGTGATACATCCATAGGCAGTGAGGTCACTTAGGTAACCAGCAGAGGGACTGCAAGTCACTCCATCCGCCTTGATTATGGACCATCTTCAAAACTGAACAGATACAGCTGGAAAACACTGACTTGGAAGCAAACGACTGCAAGTCCTTGGACCCAGAACTCAAAACTGGGAGAGACATCAGTAGCATACACCTTGCTGAAAAGATGCTTTGTCTGAAGAAAACACCTTTTGGACTGCAACACACTGTCTCTTTGCCACTGCTGGTGAGTTTGTATGGGCTCAGTGCGAGAGCAGCGTTGTTGTTGGGGAGTGGGGAGAGATGAGCTACTATATTTCATTTGCAAAGATATTTTTAGCTTTGATAAATAAAAGCTGTGTAAAACCTAAAAATGAAAATGCTTGGACGTAAGGAGACAGTCAGAATTTACATACTTCAGCTTTGGTAGACAGGCTGGAATAGTGGCATACAATTTCCCCGAACCCAACAAGACCAGACAGTACATTTGTTTATTTAGAGGTTTTCTGGTAGCACTTATTGCTATAATTATCTGATCTCTTTACTTAGACCAAAGAATTAATCAGCACAAAACATTATGAATTGAAAAATTGCCTTTCTGTTTAATGAACAAAGAGCCCAGAAGCAGACAGCTAAAGTGAGTTGGCCAGGCTCATAAAGAAAGCTTGTGGCCTGTCCAGGGCCTTAACCGTAATTACTTTCACACAGCCAGGATGAGAAAACAATTTCAAGTAGTGATATAAACTTTTTTGAAGAATCTGCCAGGTTCTCACCCAGCTGGTAAATTTGGTTGATAGACAACATAACAGTGAGCATATTGCTTGCATGCTGTTCAATCTACTAGCTCCAACAACTCTGCAAGAAGGTACAAGAGAATAAGACCAAACCACACTAGTCAATCCACCTTTAAAATACTGCATTTGAAGAATTTAAGTGCTTTATGTTGCAACCTGCATTGCCTGTGCAATTTTACAAGAACGAATATGGATGAGACACAACTTAATGGAATGGGCAAAGGGCAGAATCTCTAGTGGCATAGCTCATTTGGGAACCAAATGCACAGAAAGAGTCTGGAAAAAAAGACAGGCTCACACAAGGAACAAGATTTAAAATATCTTTGCATTTATAGATATTTATGCTATATTTAACTTTTTATGCATATTACTTAACTTTTTAAGATTGTTTATGCAACGATCTTAATTACAAAGGAGAGAAAGTCCATAAACAAGGCTACTATGTTAATAACAATGTCTTTTTAAAGCAAGTCCCTAATTCAGTTATAAGACTTAGAACATTGCTGTCTGGAGTTACAAAACCAAAAGTAATTACAAAGGAAAGTCTGCATCAGACAGTGGGTATTAGTGGAGTCAGGCCATGGCTTTGAGACAGCATTTACTCCCTGCTTTCTTCCCTTTTGTGCATAACTGATACAAACTTCTTTATTTTCTCAGTTCCACTACAGATGTCAGGAAGTTCAAGCAGCTAGTGGACATTTGCAGAATGAATCATGGGGCACCACTTTTCATTCTGACAAAAACAACTGCTGTTCAGTTAACAAGATGCTGATCAAATGGGTGGATATAAAGAGTGAACTCCTGCAACTGTTGCCAAAAAGGCTCCACCACTGCAAGGAAGCTGTGTGTGCTGACTTGGAGAACACTGATTTTTTTTCCCCTGTTCTTAAGAGACTATTACACAGTTTCATGTTCCCACTCATAGACCTGAGGAGCTCAGCCTGTGGCATGGCTACCAGCTTTGACCGGCAACTAGAGAATGTATTTGTTGCTGGAAGAGACTAGAATCATTAAATTTGGAAAAAAGGCAGATATGTTTTAGGGAACACAGAGTGCTACAGGAGACAGAAAAACAGCTTCCTCTAGTGCCTATTGCCAAAATTTCTGAAGACCAGACAACAACTTTAAAATTTCCAAGGGAACAGCCACAAGTCAGTCAAAAATAGAATTAGGAAACTGCCTGTTTCAAAAGTAAGAGTCTGTAAGAGGTGCCAGCATTTTTCAGCATTTCCGTTGTTCCCAACAAGAACACTGAAGAGTTAACAGACATCTGTCTACCAAAAAAAAGCCAACCCACTGAAAAGGACAAAATGAGGAAGGAAATCTATGTGGTAAAAGAATATTCATTGTATTTCACATCTTTAAGACTCTGATCACTTTTGCACACATTTATCCAAAGTTTCTTTTGCTTTGCAATTTCCAAATGTTGGCACTTTCTTAGGCCTCAGAGACACAGCAACAAGCCAAGGAGACCCTTACTGAAGTCATGCTTCTATTCAAAATGCAAGTAAATCTAAATATGTGAAAGAGGCAATATTCCGTGCTCTTCCCCGAAAGGGGAAGACTTTTTCCATGCTCTTTTTTACTTAACTGAAATTTTTTATTTCAGTAACTAAATGAAAGATTTAGGGGAAAGGGAGTATCTCCAGTCTTTATTATTCCTCACTGTTAGTCTTCTGATATATAAGTTATAATGTGGTGTTCATCAACAATTCATAGAAAATTACCATATTCAAGTAGCACAGCAAGTTCTTACTACCTACACAGGCAAAATACTGCACAATCCTACTTGCAACCTTTCCTTTTTGTCCACAATGGATAGCATGCTGGAAAAGCTTGCATCTTATCTAACGGGAAAGGAATTACAACAGGTATCCTTTAGAAACCCTGAGGAGCCTTGACCAGAAAACCATTTCATTTAAGTTTTGCTGATCACTGACAACGGAGAGCTGTGCAGGAAAATGAAGGCCTGGAGAAGATGTGTGCTGGAGGCTGCCTTAGAATTAAAAAACCCCAATTGGATGGTGGAGGAATGCCCCATCCTTTGAACTTTTTGGTATGTTTTGGGGTGATGCAAATAAAAGACCTGAGTTGTCAGCTTTGTTTCAGACATACTTGCACTGAAGTGCTGACAGCCCCTGAATGGAAGCAGAACTGCAGAGGGTGCCTTGACACATCATGGAGAGCCGAGCAGCAACAAAAACTAGGACAAATGAACAGAGAAAACGAATGAAGCACAAGGAGTTCATGTCCCAGGAGACGAACAAGCCCTCTAATGTAGATCAGGATTTCAGAAAAAAAAAGCTATTGGTACAGTTTGATTCCCCATATAACAATGTCTTAGAGTTTCTGTCTTGTTCTTACTCTGCATCTTTTACAGATGACTTGAACAGAATCAGCTAATCATTGCAGTAGCT